GTGAGCACTACACATTTACTTTGAAGCATGGAAAAATAAAAATGATTTCTTCAATCCAAAACCACAACTATACACCCACTGGCTTTAAATGACACATTAGTGTCAATAGCCTCACTTGAGTTATTTGGGTGCATAACACTACCACCGTGAGCAGGCCAATTAAGGTCAAGCTGGAAATTTTCACAAAGTGAAGCAAGTCTTTTAACATAAGAATCTAGGTCTCCTATCTTGCCATCAGGATCTGCTCTGGTGCAGTGTTCTGCTCATGTACAGCTTATTTCAGAATAAGGGCCTAAATTAACCATCTGCTGCCCTGTCTGAAAGTCTCAGTACATCAGAAACAGAAGTGTGCCATCCTTCTCTATTTCTCTAACACACAGGTTCTCAAACTGTGGTCTGTGGACCACTAGTGATCTATGAACTCCATTCAAGTGGTCTGTGGATTGTTCCTCCAAAGGTGCATGCTTGGGTAGCTGCACACAAGAGAATGAAGGGCCACCCACCTAATTAGAGGATCCGTGAAGATGTGGCTCTACTAAATAGGTGCTTGGACCCTGGAGAAGATGCACGTGGAAGGTGAGGAAGGGGCCATGGAAGGGGAAGTGGGGTGAGATTAGGGAAATAGGAGGAAGGCAGTGGGGTTGGGAAGAATTTGGGATGTGCAGGGCTGCAGCAGCCAGGGAAAAAGGTGACTTTCCCAGTTCCAGGGCTGCAGCTACTGGGAAGAGATGGCCTTCCCTCCTAGTCCCATCTCTGTAGTTGCTGTGGCACAGGAAATACCTCTCTCCTTTTTATCTTGGCAGGGGAGAGAGGGCACATCCATCACCTTAGAAAGGCATGGCTGCTGATATTAAAATATGAGTTGTGCGCTTTTATTTGTAGAACAAAAAAGTTAATTATTATGTTTTCTCTAAAGCGCTTTTATCTGCAACACTTTACAATCATTAGCTAATGGAACAAACAACATTTGCAAAGATCAGTAAATAGTCCACTGAGACCCTCAGAAATTTTCAAATGGTCTGTGAAAAAAAAAAAGTTTGAGAACCACTGCCCTAACACATTTGTCAGACAATCAACAATGGTTGAATGTCCCTGAATAAACACTTAGGACAGTGTCTCCAGAATCGCAAGCACATGCTAAAAAACGGTTACTACTTTTAATCAAATGCAGTCATTTTGAAAAAGGAGAATAGATCAATGGTAAACTACTTTTATACAATACAATATACATCCTGGACCCAAAGCTGCCAACATTTACACATATGCAAATCTTTACTCACATGAGTAGTCCCACTGAAGGATCAGGATCTTATTTTGTATTTCTTTGTCATACAAACTGTGAATGCTTTCCAGCAAAATGGCAGAGTATGATTAATCATAATAATTTACATGGTACCACAGACAAAAATACTATAACTGACAGAGAAATATGAATCTTTAAGATGTCTAGAGTATGAAAACAAATTAAAACACACTAGCTTTAGTTACTTACTTATTAGTATTAAGTTACTTACCAAAATCCCTCCTCCTATAATTCCATGGAAGTACCCCACATACTTGCTAAGCAGATTTTCTGAAGCGAACCTTGTTTCACCATTGGGAAAGTAAAGCAAGATGTTAGCCACAATGCAGAGAAAGGCAAGAATGAGCAACTTGTACCCAATGTATCTCGCACACTTTCCAAAACACATGTTTGCAATTCTAGAAATCTTTCTTCAATAGCTCAGAACTACCACAGCCGAGCCTGTATGGTTCCCATCCAAGTGTAAATATAAGAACAGGTTATAATCACACCTTCTTAAATACTCTGGGTTACTTAGTTAACTGGGTGATGATTACATGTCTACATGAGTGTCACTCCTGGTTACAGAATGCAAGAGCAAGATGAGAGAAATATCCTTGCCTCGCCCATTTTAAATGAAATATTTCTCAACAAGTGAAACCCAAGGCAAGTATTTTCCCACAGTGTGGAATTTGGCTTAATACACAGCTTGGAATGAACTACAGTGGACAGGATTAGGCATGAAGAACAACTTTATGCCTTGATGGAAACTCTTTGGGAATTAGAAAAGGGTCAAGAAAAATTAAAAGAAAATTAAAGCCCATTTCAACTTCTAGATTTATGGTCTGATTCAAAATCCACTACAGTTAGTGTTAAGGTGTTATGTCTTTCTGGGTTTTGAATCAGATTCTTAGTGAAGTAAGGCGCTAAGTCTTTCTGGGTTTTGAATCAGATTCTTAGTGAATAATAATACCATCTTAGTGAGCCTGCTGGTATTTGAGAATGGGTAAAATACATACCTATGTCTTCATCAGTGAATAAGAATGCATATGGTCTTGTGAAGAAGCTGGAAGCTCTCTAAAATAAATGGGTAGACATGCTCCTAAAGATGTGTCCTTTTGTATTGATTACTATTATTGTCTAAATTGAGATTTAATTCAGATCTATTAGCATCCATTTTTGTCACATCTAAACAATGGAATATAGGTAGAAAATAGTAACTACGTGTTAAACCTCTCTAGTCTCACCATTGGGACCTGACCATTACCAACACTTCCACTGCATACTAGGCTCTTAGATGACATTTAGGGTAAATTGGAGCTAATTAACAGCACAGAACACTGAGAGCCAGGACTCGGGGCTGTAAGCGAACTTGATAAGTGAACCTCTGGGTAACTAAAATCTTGCCAGAGCATAGATGTTGCTGGACCAGAGAATGCCAGATTAGAGAGGTTCAACCTGTATTATCAAAAAAATTATTGGAATGAAAATGTTTGGAATTCTGATTGTAAGAAATAATCTTAGGAATAGATAATACATAAACAACAAATGATAAAACACACTAATTTATAAAAATATTGCTTCTGTCAGCGAAATATGCTATAGGGAGTAGATGAACATTAGTCTTCCTTTAAGTAGTATATGGCATGTTGAGGAAATAAACCACTAAACTTAAAATTTTCTAACAAAGCAAAGAACTTGAATGTGTAACTTAAGAGACAAAAGCACATGAGAATATCCTCAAACTTTGCAGAACAGGAGCAGGGAGAGAGACAAATGGTCAATTTATCCCTAAACAGGACTGACGTGAATTATAATTTTGGATATGTCAGTGTGAAGTATTGTAAGGTGCAATATTATTATGTGAAGATATTTGTTTAAAATGTATATAATGAACATTTGATATCAAGATATGTCATTAAATCTTCATTTTTAGGGTGGTTGGTTTTATTTTGTTTTTTATTTTTTCTCATTTTGACTCATAGATAGTATCAGGCTAATTCTGCTTCCATTTAAGAGTTATAGATGTGATGAAAAAGCAGTCCTAAAATTGATGTATTTAGCAGGATTTTACTCTCTCTTCATGTATGGAATTTGATTTACTCATTTAACTTCAATAGGATTAATTGTGCACGCAATGCAAGCAAGCTTTGAACCTTAAAAAAAACCAGTGAACTTTCTTGTGCAGATGTGTAGGCATCATGGAACTCTCTGGGTATTGTGGCTTTTGGCCTTGGTAATTTCCTTCAGTATGAGATAATATCCTCTGATTGTCACTAGTGTAAGACTGATGATATTGTGTGTGCTGTCTTTGATAAATTTAAACCAAATGTAAACCTTATCCCTCAGATTTCCTCAAAAACAAGAGTTTCTATTCTAATCAGATGAGTGTTCAACTGAAACTCCCTTTGTTGTCAAGTATCAGAGGGGTAGCCGTGTTAGTCTGGATCTGCAAAAGCAACAAGGAGTCCTGTAGCACCTTATAGACAACAGATATATTGGAGCATAAGCTTTCGTGGGCAAAGACACACTTCGTCTACATGCATCTGTTAGTCTATAAGGTGCCACAGGACTCCTTGTCCCTTTGTTGTGTTATCATTTAAAATAGGATATGTAGAAACCAGATATAGTTTATTAATGGAAACCATTTTTTAAACTGCTATATATATGAGAGAGTTGTCTGTCTGTCCATCTGTCTATCTATTCAAGAACTCCTCCTAGACACTAAGAACTAGGAGCGTCAAATTCAGTATATAGTTTCCTCTTATCATAACTTAAAGCAAGGTAAGGGTTTGGTTGCTCTAGGAACATTGAATGTGCTGGGAATGGGATTGCTTCTCAGAAAACCATACAGACAAGAGACAGAAACATCAGGCAGGTGAAAGGAACTGGCTGGGGGTGTGCTACCCCTAACAGGACTGACTCAGCCCCAACCCTCCCACCCCTGGCACCTTATAGGGAGGGCAGAGGGAGGCTGAAGCCCCCACAATTAATATGAAAACATTGTTGTCTGTTTCCCTTTGTGAGAGAGGGAGGGTAAAGTTCACAGTTTGCAGCATTGCTCACTCTGGCTGGGGAGCACAGGCAACAGATGAACCCTGACCTGCCTTAGCTGGGGGGGGACACACACCCCTTCCCCAGCTGTGCCCACTGGAGCTGCAATGGCCATGGAAAGGTGCTTCTCACTTGGCCCCAACCTGCTGTGATGAGAGAGGGCTGGGGTAGTCCTTTCTTCTTGGGGAAGCCTGACACTGAACCCCTCATCCCCGTCCTCACCCCAGAGCAATGATTTAAATGAAATATTTTCATTTTATTTTCAAAAAAAAAAATTAATGGCATTAAGGACCTGAGCAATGCTGAGGAAATCTTCTAGTACTCCCATATTCTTAAAAGTAACATCAGATTATATGTGCTCGAGAGTTTCCCATTTAATTTGTTTTAAAGCATAATTTATTTTTTAATTGAAATATTTTTTCCAGACCAAAGGAATTAAGAATGAAAGTGCCTGAAAAGTCCTTTAGGCTTTTGAAGATATCTGGTAGTTTAATATAGTTTTTGTATCCTGAAGCCTGTACTTGGCTTATCAAAGACTGGGATTTCTATTCTTATTGCCATTTAAGGGACCAATCCTGCATTTGATTACATGCAGCAGTGATAGAACTTTTTTTAGAGTAGGGGTGATAAGCAGTGCCCCCTTTACACCTGTTCATGCCCCTCACACCCCCAGGCCGGGATCACGCCTCGGGTTGCCAATGCTCCTGGACTGGACAGATCCAACGCCATTGCTTCAAGTGGCATCCTGTACTCTGATCTGGGAGAGCTGGCAGCCTAGTCAAGCTGGAGGCAGATGTGGAGCCCTGGGCCAGTGGTGGGACCCCAAGAGGCAGCTGCACCTCCAGGGCTGGTGGCCTGGATTCCAGGGATGGCAGGTTGAAGAACTTGCAGGGCGATTGGTAGTGGGATCCCATGGGCTAGTGAAGCCAGACGGGCTGGAGGAGCCCCCCGGTGGGCTGGTGGAGCCAGTGGTAGGTCATGGGGTGGGGCCAGCTCCTGTGCCTGGGGAAGTCAAGTGCAAAACGGGGGTTGCTGCACCCTCCGCATCTCTACTTCCTGCACCTATGGTTGCATGGACAGCCCTCCATGAAACAACTAGTCTGCAAGGCGGACAACAGCAGCAAAGACTCTTCTCAACAATTATACGAAGAGTAGGGACTTGATTGTGATCTCACTTCCACCAGTGTACGCGATGAGCGGCTCCGCTGAAGTTACACCACTGTAAGAGCAGAATTAGACCTTCAGACTCTTACGAAAGGAGCTTCACCTTCTGTGTCTGGGATACAAGGGCAACAGCCTACTTGCCCAGTTATAGTCTCACTTGCCCAAGTGAATTTCCACTCCTTTTTCCTGACATGACTAACCCCATAAGGATGTTGTTGGTCTTGAAGATGTGAAACTCATGCCATAAAACTACATAACATGTGATGTCAATAGACATGCACAATAAAAAGAAAGAACTAAGTGAATTCTTGATTATGGCCCCATCTTCAGCTAGGGTTGCCAACTTTGTAAAATAGGTGTAGGTTGGACATTAGGAAAAGCTTCCTGTCAGGGGGATTTAGCACTGGAATAAATTGCCTAGGGAGGCTGTGGAATCTCCATCATTGGAGATTTTAAAGAGCATGTTAGACAAACAGGAATAGTCTAGATCCGTGGTGTCCAACCAGTTGTGAAGCAGTAACCACTATAGTGGCTACTGATATAGTGAATTGTTCAAGCCAACTAGCCACACTCAACTAGCCAAATAGCCACATGTAGCTCGTGGCTAGCAGGTTGGACACCATGGGTCTAGATGGAACTTGGTCCTGCCATGAGCATAGGTGACTGGGATAGATGAGCTCCTGAGGCTCTTTCCAGTCCTATGATTCTATACAAAATCAGACACTCAAGCAGGTATGTTGGAACCTCCCCTGCTCTGCCCCTTCCCCCTGAGTCCCGGCCCCCACCCCTCCTTATTCCCCTGAGGCCTTACCCATGCCCTGCTGCTTTCCCTGAGGCTTTACCCCTCCCCCAACCCTTGCTCACGGGGGCACATCCCCTTTTGCTCATTTTCCCCATCCCCACATTGCTTGCTGCTCTTCCTCTCTACATACCCTTCTCCCACCTGCTGCACGGGTCAGGAGGAATGCTCCAGCAGAGCCAGCGCTGGGAGATGAAGCCTATGCACCTTGTATTAAAAATAAATCAATGTCCAGGTTAAATATAGGAAACAGGCTACCAGAGATATCCTCTGAATCACAGAGGAATCAAGAAATAGATAAAGAGCCCCAACGAAACTTGTGTGAATAAAACTGAACAACATTCAGGTTCCTAAGCACGTCTGCCAAGGAATCAAGAACTAGATAAAGAGCCCCAACTAAATTTGTGTGAATAAAACTGAACAACATTCAGGTTCCTAAGCACGTCTGCCAGCCCATCTAAAATCAGCTGAGTAATTGTTGCAGGGAT